GTGCCAGGAACAAATGCCTCGTTGGCAGGGCCGACGTAGCTGCGAGTAGATCCATACTTTAGGTTGAAACCTCCAGATGCAATCGACGCCCTCCGTGTAGCATCATGTAAGTACAATTGCACCATTTCCCGCCATTTCGTTTGAATTTTCTGCGAGCTCGAAAGAACCTCAAAGTTACGAACGCCCATCAGCTTCATTGTGAAGTTGTCTTGCCCATGGGTACATGTAAGTAGTACAACTCTCCCAGCACAAAGGATCTGATGATGTACTTGGACATGCCCCCCCCCCCCCCCCCCTGACCCCGCGAGCCTAGAGGCGCCAGGAACGCTGTGCCACGCGCTCTCTGGGACAGAAGGTTGTAAAAGACCGTGCATGGATGCGTGTGCGTGGCAATGGCGGTAGTCAACTTTCCCAGCGTCCCTCGGCATTCTTGCAGCAAGATTACAACACGCCTACGCACGAATCGGGCGAGCTTGTTGAGCTGGGCCTTCCTGTGGCGAGATTTCAAGCAAAGCAGGCCACGAACATTCCAACAAAAATGATATCATTTCGACGGGCGTATTCCGTTGACCACTGTGACCATTTCCTGCAAAATAGACCACGTAGGTGTATCCACGCTAGGGGATGCCTGCCCAAACGCTGCCACCAACGGCTGCTTGTCGATCTGGAGGCGCGCAATGATAGGCGAATCCAGTCGCAAACTGGATGAGTTCTCAGGTCCGTGGGCTTCGACCATGACCAGCGGGGCCGCATTGATGGTGATGAAGCCCTTGGCTCTCGGAGCTCCAACTCTGTGTCCTGGATGCGCGTCCATAATACTGCGTTACAGTCGTTCAATTTGCAACTCCGATCGTGCTTGCCCCGGGCTCTTGTCGGGGCTGACATAAACTGGAGTGTTGACTCCTCCCGTGCCGATACCACTGAGCGCTCTGAATCCAGCAGGGGTCTTGAGAGCCCGAGACCGTGCCATTGCTCTGGCTGGGGCTGCGGCTCCTCCTTGCGCCTGTAGATGCAACCTCCGTTGTGGAATGCCCCCCCATGAAGTACAAGTTGCTCAGTGGGAACGCCAGAAACCACAATCCATGTCGATAAGGCTGCCTTGACGGAAGCGGGCGCCATTGCACGCGATGCTCCGATGCTGAAAACGGTTCGGTCTGGTGCTCTATCCCATTCTGCCACCCGCTGCACATCAAAGGAGACTGACGCTTCTGTCATTGCCAATGTCTGCTCCATAGCTTGAATTTGTAGCCGCATACGCTGTTGATCCGCTTCGACCGTGTCTGCTCTGGAGTGCAATTCATGGATGCTTTTGTCGTGCAAGTTCAAAGTGCGCCGCGTTATGTCTGCTGATTGCCAAGAACTCGCGCACCTGCGCGTTGAAGGCCTGCTGGTGCTGAGCAATGAGCGAGTTTGCCGTGGCCGTGAGTTGAGCCGTCGCTCGTGCAATCTAAGCTTGGCTCATCGCCGCCAGCCTTTGTTCCAGGTCTGCTAGGCCAGCGCGAGGAGGAGGGGGGGCAGCATCTCTGGGGGTAGGTGGACCACCAATCGGCGCGGCACTCCCAGCAGTAGCCGCGCGTTCGTCAAGGAACGCACGGCAAAGCTGCAGCCCTCGAGCCACTCGATGTTTGGCTCGCGGAGGGAAAAGAACACGTTCGGGCCAAGGATGTCTAACTGGCCCTCCACTAGCCCCAGCGAGTCGTTGCGGAGTGGACGCAGCTGCCGCATTTTGCCATGGCCCCCTTTCGCTAAGTGTGTCCGCGCGAGCAGCCGACGGTCCAGATGTTGGGGTAGCTGCTCGCTGATGTTCTTGTCTGCCAATGCGCCGATCACGTTCGCGTTCTCGTTCGTCATGATCTGCATGCCTGCCGTTGTCTCTGCGATCACGATGCCTGCGTCGCTTTCTCTTCGACCCACTTCTTTATCCACCGCTCCTGCTCTTGGAATTACTAGCACCATGGCATCTACGATCACGGAGGCGAGAATGAGGTCGGCGAGATCCGACTGACGATCGGGGCATGATGCTGTCAGCGGTTCGAGCCACAAAATGGCTCGAGCCAACATGGCAACGGCACGAAGGGGCAGACGGAGGCGGAGGAGGAGGGCTGCCTGACTGACTATGAATCGGACCCAACGTGTCGTCACGACTTGCATGCTACTATACTGCTGGAGCGTGCACCTGTCTACTTGACTTCTGGGTCTATTCGGAGCTGGGCCCCTCGCTCGCGCCAGTGGGGCGCTCGCGTCAACAAACGCACTGGCTCTGGGGGCAAGCTACTCCCGCACTCGTCGAGCTAGCCGCCCACGAGCACTCGGGTGCCATGACTCTGGCGACGCAGCGCCCTCCGATTCGCCTCCACGGCGCGACATGGGCCCGGCGGAGGGTCAGGGCGAGGAGCGAGGAGGCGGAGGTCGACATTTCGGCTGAAACACTGCAGCTGGCTGGCTCGGCTCTCGATGGGGTCAGTTGTCCTGAGGCCTGCAGCTGCGCCGAGCGCGCGCTGTCACGAAATGCTGGCGGTGCCGAACTGGCTGGAACTCTCTCGGGCTCGGCTGGGGCCATTCGAATTCGGTGAGTGGGGTCTGGAACCTGATCTGTTTCATCAGGGATTACCTCCAGGATTATCTGCCGAAGCTCAACGCTTAGCTCTGCTGATAAACTAGCTTCGTGAGGCCCCTCTGCAGTGGGCCGCGCGGCGCACCCCCGAGACGGCGCTGACCTGCCTCCGCCTTGATCCTTGATCTCCTTCACCACACGTCGTGCACGCTTTTCGCGTTGGGCACGTGCAAGACGAAGGAAAAGATCAGCCGCGCTTTCTCCTTGTTCTGCTTGGGCTGCTTGTTCACTTTCGCCTGGCAGTGCTTCGCGCACGTGCCCAGGAGCTCGGAGTCGGGCTTGCGCGCCACATGCATCCAGAACTTGCCCAGGAGCTCCCTGTCGTCTGGCGGTACTACGTCCTTGATGCCCTTGATCGCGGCTGCGACGACGACCAGAGGCGGCGGTCCCAGCGCTGCGAGGTCGACCGACGGGTCGGAGGCGAAGCGTTCCTTGAGCCGCTTGGCGTCCTCGTAGTAGGCCTTGCCACCCTCCACCGCCAGGCTCGCCATGGGCTTGTCCGCGTCGAGCTCCCAGGTCTCGTAGACCACCGCTTTCATGTCCTCCACGTCCTGGGCCACGTTCATCGTGAGCTTGGCCGTCATCGCGGCGATCTCCTCGAGGCGCTCGTAGTCCTTGTCCTTGTCGCGGCCGCCCTTGCCCTTCGTCCTGAGCTCCTTGGCAGCGCGCCCCCCTCGATTCTCCATTGCTCCTGACGCTGCCTGGTGCGCGAGCTTGCCCGTGCAGGCCGGCTCCATCGCGAAGGCATCCTCCTCCGCCGCCGCCGCTGCTGCTCCATCTGGCATGTCGGAGTGGGTGTTCGTCTGCACCGGGCCCACGCGGCTCCACCGTCGGTCGGGCGCGAGGGCCCGTCGGAGGAGTTGGCTGCAAAACCGCTCTGGGGAAATGACTACGGAAGTGCTCGTAGAACTGTTGTTTGTCGTTGTTCGCGTACCCACACAGCTGGCATTTCGGGGTAAAGGGCTCGATCGGTCTCATCGTTCGTGTTCGGTCAGCTGGGCACCTGCCACCTAAGCGAGCACGCATCAAGTGTCGGGGTGCCGTACTTCTCTCACCAAACACCGTGCCACAATTGACGCACTCGTTAGTAGGTGTGAACAGCGACGCAATGTTACTAAGCTTGTGTTTGCTGCGCATATGTGACATCAACGCCTTGCGTGTACCAAAGACACGCGCCGCACACAGGAGCTGAATGCTGCATCGTCGGAGAAGATCCACGAGCACCGTCATCAACTGTAGTCGGTACTGTCGCGACAGCAATTGTCAGCTCACATTTCCATGGGGATATATCCGATAGTACTGACTCCTCGTCAGCAATATCTGCTGCTGCTGCTGCCGAGGTCCCTGGACGGGGGTGGCCTGGGGGCGGGATCGCTCGGGCTCTGAAGGCCTGGCGGAGCTCCTTGGGGTCGAGGGCCTCTAAAGCAACCTGGAAGTCGGGCTCAGGAGGAGGAGTAGGAGTAGGAGTAGGAGAAGAGCCCCCTCGGGGAGGAGCAGCAAGGTCTGACCTCGAGGGGCGCATCTCCAATCTCCACGCAGGACTCGACCACCGCAGCGGGAGGGGAGAAACTGGAGGTCGTAGACCATGTGGGAACAAACAATGACAAAAACCTGGCCACCCAGAGGTCCGCGCGGATTCTGCGGATCGGCGCTAGGGCCCCCTGGCAGCGCCTTCGGCGCCGCCCTGGCGCGCTCTGCGCATCAATCGCCGGTCCAAGAAATGCGCGCGGACCTCCGAGATTTGAGGTTTATGTCCGTATTTGTTCCCCGATGGGGATCGCAGACCAAAGAGCAAATTTGGGAGTGCCTTTCCCCCAGGGCGGGTGTCCAAAGATTCCCAAGACGCGCGGCTGAGGACCCAGAAGAGTAGAAGGAGGGGGAGGAGGGCCGTTTGTGCTTGGCGGCACGGGGCCCATGCATCGGTGCTGGACCTTCACGAGGAGGCGTCCGAGAAGAAAAACACGGAAGGGGGAAAGGAGGATGGTGGAGCAGCGGGATGACGAAGTGGAGAAGGAACACGAAACAGCGAAGGAAAAGCAGTTGAAGGAGACGGAATGTATGGAAGAAAGATGAAGAAGAAGAAGGAAGGCGAGTTGGATAAGGGAGGGGTGGGACAATGGGGCAACAGCAGCGGTAGATGGAGAAGGAGGAGCCGAAGAAGGAGAAAGAGTAATGACAGGGAGGAGAATAAGCATGACGCCGAAGGAGCGGCAGTAGGGATGAGCCCTGATGCTCCTCTTCCTCGTCCGCCTGCACCTCCCTCTCAACGCCCTCCTCGTCCCCAGACCTCCTCCAGCGCCGAGCTCATCCGATGCTGGGGGGAGGATCCAGCTCAGCTCGAACAGCCCGACGCGGGAGCAGGCCTGGATCCTATTGGTCTCCGCTCTCCTCCCTGGCGACCTGACCGCAAGCAGCTCTCTGACCATGATCTCGAGCTCGTCCTGGACCCTCCACCAGAGAGGCGGGCTCTCGTGGCATACAGTGGGTACACACGAACATACGGCTGGCTGAAGGTTTATCGAAGACGCATCCTTCGTCGACTCTGAGCTTCACGAGCTGCCGCATGGCTCTGCGGCCACGCTCGGAAATTCGCGCGGGGCACTCGCTGGCTGGCCAATCTCCTATGTGGTGCGCCTAGTCGAGGGAGATGAGGAGGGAGGAGGAGGAGCTGAACTGAACTGAACGCTGGAGACGAAAGAAGACGAGGTGTAAGAGAGCAGGAAGGAGCCCCGGGAAACCCTCAGGACCCCCTTTTATATACAACAAGCGATACCAATACCGTTCGTGCCCACGCTACCGCTGCCCGGGGGACTTTGGCCCGCGTTGAGGCCGTGTCGAAGCCCTGAGAAATTGCTGACCCATGTCAGGCCACTTTGACGCTTTCGCCAAGGACGGCCGCAACGTCACGTAATCGCGATTTCCGCGAGATCCTCCGGCACTTCTCGCTCACGTTGGGACCATGTTCAGGCCATGGCGAGGACAGCTCCCGCATCCCCTGGATGCGATTCCTGCGTGGGGTGCGCATGCAGGCGAGGCTCCCGAATAGTCCTCGAGATTCCAGGCGCACGTTGAGGCCATAGCCATATTGAGGCCCTCGCTGCGAGTGCCCCAGCACCTCCCGGAAACGGTTCCCGCAGTGGTCCTTGAGGATGTGGGGTGTGGGGTTGTACGGTGAGTTCAGGTTGAAGCCCTCGCGGCGAGGGCCTCAAAATCCCCCGCGCGTGACACCGCATACCTCTCGAGGATTTCTCGCACATGCTGGGTCCCAGCAAACTTTCGCATGGGGGGAACGGGTCCTAGGGGAAACGGAGGCTGGATCCCGAGCCTTCCCCCAGGACCAAAAAATTCTCCCTCACGCGGTGTGCTCTGCCATGCTCGGGCCCGTGGAGGGCCCCGAGAGCCCGAAGACGGCGAGACGCCTCGGGACCCGTCTCCCTCGGGGCCCGTTTCCCCATGGCGACGGACTGCGCCCCGGGGTCCCAAGGCGTGTCCTGCAACTAGGGCTCCCAACTTCGCGCTTCGCGCTGCGCGAAGCGCGAATAACTTCGCGCTCTCGCGCCGCCCCCCCAAAGGGAGAAGAGGAGGACGAGGAGGAGGGGGAGGAGGAAGGAGGACGGCGAAGCGCGAAGCGCGAATAACTTCGCGCCCTCGTGGGAGCCCTTACCCATGGCGACGGACTGCGCCCCGGGGTCCCAAGGCGTGTGCTGCAAGGCAGCCGCGTGGCGCATACGCCGATCAGGGGCCCCGGACCCCTCAGGGCCCGGATCGATGCGACGGGGCGACGGCCGGCTTTTATAAGGAAGACCTGTGGCTAACCTGCCATTGCTGACGCCTGATGCTCCTCCTCCTGTCCCTGCTGCTCCTCGTCGTCGTCCATCCTCGAAGTCTGATGGCCATTCCTGGATTCGCCTCTGTCTCCGGATGTCCCTGCCGAGGCTCAGGGTGACCTCCAGAGACCTCTGAGGGCCTCCTCCGTCTCCTTCGTCTACTCCTTAACCTCATCCGTATCCTCTTCCTCCCACCTCCTTCCTCCATCCTCTCCCTCCCACCCTCCCCCTCCCTCCCATCAACCTGCGCTCTCCCCGCCATCCATTCGCAAGTTGCCATTGCCGTCAAAGTCGTACAACTCGAAGATCTGCCTGGATACGCCATACATGTCACAGCCTCCTCCCCCATCACCTCCACATCGAAGGATAACACGGATGACAGGAGGAAGAGGAAATGGAAGAAGAGGAGAAGGGAGAAGGAGGAGTAACAGGGACGCACTGACACAGGTTTTGGCGATTGCATGGGATTATGTGGGTTTGCGAAGCGGGCCCCAACGGAATGTCCAAACCCCATGCTTGGACTAGGGGCTGTGACTTCGAGTCTAAAATAATTGGATGGGCGCGCTGGGTGCTCACATGGTGGGCAACCATGGGCGCCTCGTGGGCGCCGGCCGCGTGCGCCGGATGGGTGCACCGAGGTTTCGCCTGGTGAGCGTTTGTGGCGCCTGGTGGGCACTCCGTGCACCAGCTGGGGGTGCCGAAGTTCCGCCCTGAGGGCGGCTGAACGGCACCTCGTGAGCACCTCGTGCTGCATATCATAGAGCCTGCTCTACATGCACCACATGGCGTGCACCACATGTTACAACACATAGCTTGCACCAGACAACTTACACAACACATGTGGAAACACACTGCTTACACCATGGAACTATCACCACATATCGGACACCTCATGGCATGCGCCACATAGGGTATCCCATACACATTGCGCCTCAGACCATATAGCCTACAACACAAACATTATACCACGTATACTCGACAACAAGGCCTACACAACGTATGTGCCACCACGTACGTTGTACCACGTAGCTTGCACCACACGTATTGCACGTATCGAGTGCCATAACATACCGCTTGGGCGGCGACTGACCCTCGGTGCCAGTATGGCAGCCGCCCTCCGGCGGCCTCCGCCGAGAGGGTCCCGCCCGGATCTGCGCACGCCGCCCTCCGCGGAGGAGGCAGGGAAGGCAGCGCCGCTCTGGAGAAGTCCCACCCTGGAGTCTGTACAGAACAGATGTGCACGGGCGCACATACAGACCCATACGACAACCCTTCGGGTGCCGAGGACGCTTGTTCTGGCGGGGAAGACGAGGACGAGGTCGAGGCCTGCCTGAAGGTGTCCTGCAGGTCGCCGCCCTGGCCCGCCGAGGCGCGGACGCACCGCACCCACAGGCCACGGAGCACGGCCTCGCGCGCGGGGTCGATCGACATGTGGAGCAGCCCGTCCTGCAGGGCGCCGCCCAGCGGTGTCGCTTACCAGCAGGCCATCCTCCTCCTGTTGCCTCCACCCCTCCCAATCCTCCTCCTCCTCCTCCTCCTCCTCCTCCTCCTCCTCCTGTTCCTCCTGCTTCTCCTCCGCCCCCTCCTTCCTCCTCCCTCTCCACCTCCTCCAGTCCTACACCCCATCCTCCTCTTCCTACTTCCAATCCTCCATTTCCTGCGCCAGATCATGCCCCACCGCCCCATTATCCTCCTCAGCCCAATCTTCATCCTCTTATCCCCCGTCGCAGTCCTGCAAGGGTAATAATCACACGTCGCTTGCCAATTCACCGACCTTCACGACATAAAAGCTGCCAGCTTGAAAATTGATGGGGAAAGGAAGTCAACCAATTTCGAGTTGGCTAGGGAGATGCAACAGGAGGAGGATTAGGAGGAGGGAGGGGAAGTAGAGAAAGAAGACGAGGAGGACGACGACGACGCGAAACCTAACAACAGCAGGTCTGCGGCATTTGTTGTGCCCTGTGGCGTCGCTCATCCAATTCTCCTCCAAGTCGGGGGAACAAGGGTCAAGGGTTTCCTAAAGAGGCTTGTGGAGGGCTCTGGGAACCTTCGGGGACCCTTGGGGACCTCCAGAGCTCTCTGGGGACCTCCTGTAACTCCTCCCCGTTGCTGTCCTCGTTCTCTTGCCCTTCGTCCAACAATCATCCTCCAAATACGCGTCCTCCGCCTGACTCCCCCGTGAGTCAGCCTGGTCTTCTTTTCCGCCGGCGACAGCGCCAACAGGAGAACGACGACGAAGATCATGACGAAGACGGGCGACGACGCACGACGACGGGGCAGGGCGAGGCGCGCAAAGCTTCGGCCTTGCCCCGCTTGTGCGTCGCCCCGCCGGCTCCGGTAACAACCTCGGGGGGCGGCGGAGGAGGGGGGGGGCAGGGGGGAATGGGGTGGAGGGGGCGAAGGGTCTCACGAGGTCCTCACTGGCCTGCTACATGGATTCTGGGCGGCTCTTGTCGCGGGCGGGGAGCGAATGTCCCTCCTCCTCCTCCTCCTCCTCTGTTTCCCCTCCTTTTCCTCGTCCTCCTCCTCCTCCTCGTCCTCCTCCTCTTTTTTATCATGGCCCTTTTCCTCCACCTCCTCTCTTGCCGTTTCCGTCTCCTCCGCTTCCTCCTCCTCCTCCTCCTCCTCATCCTTCCCCTCCTCCTCCTGTTTTGCTTCTTCTCCACACCCTTCCTGGTCCACGCCAAACACTTCTGGACCGATTGCGCGAAGTCCCCGAATGCGCGCAGGCTCAATCGGGTCGAAAAAAGGATGCGAAAACGACGTGATCTGGTAGGTTTTAGTTTCTCTCTCTCTCTGTTTCTTTGTTTCTCTCTTTCTCTCTACCTGCCTGTCTCTCTCTCTCTCTCTATTTCTCTCTCTCTCCCTTTTTCTTTCTCTCTCTCTCTCTCTCTCCCTATAAATGTATATATATATATATATATATATATACATGTATGTAACTTTGCACGTCGCCTTTTTTTATCCAGGCCCGCAGCGATATGTCGTGGTGACAGACCATTGCACTGAGAAGAGTGGAGCACGCGACCCCAAAAACCTGAGAACCCTGGATGGATCTCAAAGAAGTTACACTCCTGCACCGTTACATGGGATCAGAGGCAACACGGGCGGGCAATGGGAGCTTTGAGCCCAAACAGTGAAGGACAGAAAGAATGAAGGACGAGTCGGGAACGCATTCGCCCCCGGCCTTCCAGACAAGAGCTCTGTTCAAAACTAGCACGACACCAAGGTGATCGACCAAGCTTTGCGCGCCGACTTTTTTCATCCAGGCCAGCCGCGATATCACGTGGTTACAGAACTTGGCCCTACGAAGACCGGTGCGCAAGATTCAAAAAAACCTGAAGCCTCCGAACTGGTCTCGAAGAAATTACATTCCCGACTGGCCGTCGTTACTGCTGGAGACGTTGGAACAAAAGTCACCGTATCCATATATATATATATATATCAAATGCGGCCAAGGCAATCTTAAAGCTATGGGCGAGATTGTTACGCAACGCTGTGGGACAAGGTTCGGCTATTCAAGACATACAAGCACCTTCGCATTTTCCGGACAGTTCAACCTGGGGTTTATGGCTGTAGCTAGATATGTCGCGGCCAGTTCCCAAACGAGAGTACCCAGACATATCAACATGCACGCTAACGTTTTTCGTGCGCTTACACCACGGCATACCAACACCACGCAAATCAGTTCGAATGATTCGCGCATGTCTACGGCGACCCGCGGACGCCAGAGCTGGACACAAGCAAATTCTACTGGTCGGTGGATTCTCCAGCGCAAAGGGAACAACGAGACGAGAGCAAACCTCCGGATGGACGCCGAGAAAGTCATGGGCACGCATCTCACTCGAACCTTTTCCTGATCACCTGTGTCTGGGAATCAACGAGGCAGCTGATCGCTACAAAGCTGGGGTGGTCCTCCACTTCGGTCACGGGCACGAGACAACTGGAACGCGGCGCGCCCATCCACACTGCGACAATGTGGGAGCCCATCAGCCACCCTCGCGCATGTTCCTGCACGCGTGGCACCGTAAAATCATACTGCCCCCCGTGTCGGATTTCGAACTCAATGATAGGAAGACCCACCTGCCGCCTCCAGGCGGCTGAGAAGTGCCCAGACCCACAGAAAAGCTCGACGGCGAGCGGGACAGACAGGAAGATGGCCTTCAGAAGCGGCAGTGCCTGTTCATGACGGCGCCGACATCGGAGACGCCTCGCGCTGCGACGAGCTGAACGCCGCGCGGCAGGTAGTGCAATTGCTCCGTCAGCCGACCTGTTCACTGATTGCGCCGCGTCGAGCTTGGCTGAGCCCATCCACCACAGCGGGCTCCAGCGTCCGAGGCTGACGTCGAGGATCGCTCCGGCGCGCCGCAGCCCGCGCAGCGTCGGCGGCCCGAGATCCTGAAGCCCCAACACCATCCCGCCTCACATGTACTGGTTCCACCACTGCTGATACATGGCTCGAAGATCGGGTTGTCCGCGTGGCGGGCCCTCTGGCGCGAGGCATGCAGCGCTGGAATCAGGAAATCGTGGTCCGCGAGGCCCGGCGCCCGCGAGTCGTCCCACTTCGAGGCTGGCCGAGCTCCATCGGGCGCGATGTCCATCTCGCGCGGTGCACGCCTGCGCCTCGAAGCGGCGGGGCCAGCTGGCACCCGCGGAGGCCGATAGTCTCGCTCGGTCTCAGGTGGGAGACCACGCACATCAGCGCTGCCACGGCCATGATCTGTCACCCCTCGCGCACCAGCCAATCGCGCGGGGCGCGCGCCACCTCCCGCGGCGTCGGCAGCCTCGACATGCTGGGGCACTGCAGGCGCCAGCCCCGCAGGGCCTGACGGAAAGCCGCCGGGCGCGCGCCCTTCTGCCGCCCCCGCGGCGGGTTCAAGTAGCAGGCTGCCGGCGCCAGACGAGACCCCGAGCTCGAGAGCGCCCCCTCAAAGTACCGGTATTCCGATCGCATCGTCGATTTGCTTACGACTAGAGGGGCAGACGGCGCGAATCTCCCCCAGCTCCCCGAGTGCAGCTGCTGGGTCCGAGGTCAGACGCTAGCGGCCTAAAAATATCTCAGCTTGGTCAGCTCCAGAGTGCTCCGCGCAGCCAAGGCCTGGCGGGCGGCCGAGCGCGCGGCGGCGCGGCGCGCTCGCGGCTGCGCCAGGCGCCGCGCCGGCGCCATCGGCCCAGCCGCCTCTGGCGAGCTCGCCCTCGCCAAGCCCGCGCCAGGTTGGGGTCGATCCGCGCGCTCCGAGCGACTCGCGTTGGGCCTGGCCACTCGGGGGCGGGCCGGCCTCTCGGGGCGGCGCGACCGACCCCCTTTTCCGCGATGCCGCAGCAGGGCGGGCCCCCGCGGCAAGACCGCCAACTCCAGCGCCTCCTGCGACGCTGGCCGAGGGCAGACCCTTCGCGACGGGGCATAAGCAGGGCCCCCCTCGCTGGCGATCCACCTCGCGTAGACCGAGCAGCCGGAGACGAGCGCCAGAGCTGCCCGCCGACGCGCCGCGCGAAGCATCCTCGGCGCGGAGGCGCGGCCGTTGCTCAGAGCAAGAATTGCGGACACTGGGTCGCCGAGAATGAATGGTCGCTCGCGCCGCGACGCCTGATTTCGAAGCGCGCGGCGAAGCGCGCGGCGAAGCCCCCGCAAAGCAGCACGGATCGCCCTAACGGGGATACTCTCAGGGCGGCCCCAGGCCGGCGACCTCATGGCCCTCCGGGGGCCTCCGACCAGGGGGCGGGGAACGAGGTCGACGCCTCGCACCAGGCAGGCGCAGTGGTCCACGTCCGCCGACTCGCGAGTTCCATTCGGCTTCTCCCCAACAGCTTCGACTCCTCGATGCGCTCGCGGGCCTGCTCGCGGGCCCCCTTCTGCGCCCTTCTTGAACCTCCAGACGTCCGAGAAATTCACGGCGCGCTTTGCGTCGACCTCCGGGCCCGCGGTTTCCGCCGCCGCCCGCTCGGCGGCGTCGGCGGCCAGGGCATGGGCATAGATGGGGGCGCGCACGTCCGTCGGGCAGAAGCAGATGAACTTGGGCGCCCGCTGCAAGTCTCGTCAAACTACGCCGCGGACCCCCGCGCTCCCCCCACGATGACCCCAATGAAAGCCCGCGCCCCGCTAAAGACCGACAGGGGCCCCCGATGCAGAAGGAAGAGATGAATGGAGTGGCCCGCCCGCCAAGACCTCGACCAACTTCCCGGCTAGCGCATGCGCAAGGCGCTTTGAAAGGCAAAACGCAATATCAAAACGTTGCTATATATATATATCAAACGTGGCAATATCAATATATATATATATATATGCACAACGCATATATATATATATTATTCTCTCTCTCTCTCTCTCTCCCTCTCTCTCTATCCCCCTCTCTCTATATCTATATATATATATATATATATATATGTGTCCGATCGCCAGAGGTCCTGCGCGCTCAAGCTCGGTCGCAAAACCCTCGGCCGCAGGCCGCGCTCTGCCTGGGCAGCGCGAGAAGGCCGCGCAGTTGTCAACGCGCGCTGCATGCGACCTGCGAGTAGTTCGGGGGGGGGGCCCTTGTGACGTCGAGCGCGCGCTTGCATTGGGCCCTGGGCCCCGGGCGCAGGCCGCCCCCAGGGCCCCCCGACGCCAGCTGAGCGCGTGCGCCCAGCACATAGCCAAGACCCTCGAACTTGGGGGGGCCCACGCGCTGGGCCCCGCCGCGGCCCCCCCTGCCGCGCGCGCGACACCTGCGCGCCCAGCTCTGACTCAACCTGGGCCAAACTAGGGCCGCAGAGGCATTGGCAACGCCATCCGTCAAAAATCATCCAAACTGTCGGCATGGCACAGCTCTTGGGCCGGAACGGCGGCGGCGAACAGACCAGACAAGAGAGCCCAGGGAAGCCGAGCGAGCGCGGGGGGGCTTCTTCAACCGGCAGAACAACGGGCGCCAATAATGAAACGCTGGGACCTGTTCTTCCCTCAAGCCGAAAAAAGCCCGCATTGCTCACTGAACTGAATCATCCCGCGTTGGAATGACCCCTGGACGAGCCGCTCACACTGGCGAGGGCGGTGGAGGAATGGATCGAGATATGGGAAGTTGGGAACGCCGCTCGAGTTCAAACGCTCGCCTGCCGGATTCTTCGGCAGCAGGCAGTCTTCAGCGAACGCCTGGACTTCTTCTATCGTTCTCGATGGAGCCCCCCAGGTCCTGCGGGGGCCCAGAAGCTGAGCAGGTCAATGTCCACGGGCGCCGCGGCAACTGGAGTGCCACGATTGCCGCGGGAGGCCCGAGGCTCCCGGAGGGCCCCCCAGCCCGCGAGGTCAGCGGGGCACTCGCGAACGTGCGACTGCCCGAGGTCATGCGCGAGAGGCCTGAATTGCGCCAGCGATGACTCGCCGGCGGAGGTGTTCTGTAGCCGCCGAGCTCATGGAGCGCCCGCGCCGCGCCGGGCCCTCAGTCGGAGCGGTGCGTCTTCGCCCCCACGCGCCGCCGCGCAGTGCGCGAGGGAGAGCCCCGGCCGCCTTCGTGTCGAGCGCGCTCAAGGACAGCCAGGGTAGGCACATCTCGCTGAGCGACAAAACTAGCGAGATCCTGACGCAGGTCGCCTGCCCCAGCGCAAGGGCAAGCGGGGCGGGGTCGCCCTCCAGCCTCGGCACATCGCGCGCCGCCCTTGCGCGAGAGTTTGGCTTCCTCCCGCGCTCCTCATCTGTTTGACCACCTCGACGTCGCGGCCGGTTTCCTGCGACACCCGCTCAACCAACTCAGGGCACAGCATCGCCTCGCGAGCCACGCGGTGCGAGCTGGAGAAGTGAGCCGCCTCATTGCGGTTGGCTTCCTGCGTCTGATCGCTTGCCAAACTGCTCTGGTTCTTCTCGTAATTGAACTCAACGACTTGGCAGCGACGCAGGGTGACCTCGAGCCCCGCGCGGTTCGGCGGTTCGGCCGGTCAACCTGGTCGCGCGCGCCGAAGATCTGCAAGGCCCGCGCCCCATGATCATAGTCCTGCACACTGAGGTCCGTCGTCGAGAGCTCGAGATGCGACATCCACCGGCAATGATGGTGATCCATTGGCCACCCCCCTCGGCGATCCACAAACTGCACGCGCCGCAACTCAGCCCTAGGGCCAGGCAGGGGCCAGTCACTGAACTCAACGCGCTGCTCCTGAGTCGCCACAGCGCGCCGCGACCTCTAGCGAGCGCCCTGCGCAACGCACTGCGCTCCCAGCGCGCGGGCGTCCGAGCTTGTCGCTGACGGGGCGCGGGCGGCCACGCAGTCCGCCGGCGTCTTGCCGGGCCGCTCTTCGAAGATCCACTCACCCGAGCCACCTGAAGCCGCCAGCGCCTGGCGCCCGTCAGGAGCGATCAGCGCCGACGGCGTCGTCGCCACCTTGTCGCCAACCGCGACCCCCAGCGCCGGGTCGGGCATCGCTGCCACCCAATGGTTTCGGGCGCGCCCAGCGCCTGGCCCCCGGGCTCACTGTCCCCCACGCTCACTCCAAGGCGGGGTCCTGGTGCCGCGCGCCTCCTCCTCGGGCACGTGCGGCGGCGGGGGCAGTCGGGGAGGGGGCCCGCCTGCCAGCCCTGCCAAAGCCCCCGCCTACACCGCCCACGCTCGGTGGCAGTACCACCAGTCCGCCGCGCCGCTGCTCCTCCGCCTCGGCGATATCCGCCGCCTGGCGCGCCAGCCTCTCCAGCTGCCGCCCGCGTGGGAACGCGCCGAGCGCGTGGGTCCCGCCGCGACCGACATCAGTCGGCAGCCGCCCTGGCCTTGACTCCGACGCCACTGCCTCGATGTCCGGTTTCCAGATGGGCTGGGACCCTCCATGTATAGGTTGTCGTCCGGGGACAGTATGACGAACTGTCCCGGATGGGACTGCAAGCGCACCAAAATCAGCCTTCGGTGCCAGGCTCTCCGCGCTGGGACGCCGTGCCTCACCCACGTCACATCCTTCTCCTCCAGACTTGACATGGTCGGAGTGAGGCTGCTCTCGCGACTGGCAGACTGCGACGCTCTGCGCACACGCGCCCAGCAGCCAGACTGTCCCCACGAGGCCAGCGCCTGCCAGCAAACCCAGCACGAAGGGCAACGACCATACTGACACTCTCTGGCCGCCGTCCCCCCTCCGCCCCGCACGCGGAGCAAGGAAGGGCGTGCGGACACTGGGCGGCGTGGCACGAAGGACATTGATAGTGAGGACGCGGCGGGATCGCCGGGCACATGAAGGTCGGGCAAGGCGGCACCGGCGAGCAGCGCAGCAACCGACCGAACGTCGCACGCGAGACCTCAGGAGGGAGCCGGGGATCACCCTTGCGATCTGGGGCGGCGCGGCGGGTAGCGCCGCGGCGCGCGCGGGCGCCACTCGGCGCGCGCCCGCGCGCGGGGCAGGTCCTCGCCGAGGCGCGCGCCGTGAGCGCGCGGGCAGAGCGCGGACGTGCGCCCGCCCCTGGTGGAGGCCTCCTGGGCCGTGGGCGCGGAATTTCACGATCGGCGAACGCATCCACATCCGCCCCTCGCGGTCTGGATTCCGGGGCACGATCCCGCGGATACGCAATCGCACGGATGCGCTCCGCGCGGGGCATTCGCGAAACAACGCCCCGTATCCGCGGGGTCGCGGCCCAAAGACACGGCCCGCGAGGCCGCGAATACGGATATATTTTCGCCCACGAGAAGTCGTGATGGCGAAGGCGGATGGGGGGCTACTGTCAGGCGAAACCAAGATCAGGACAACATCGGGCGGGGACGAATTGGGGATCTCTGAGATCCGGCGGCGCTGGAGGACGCGTCGGGTGCCGCGGCCGGTCCAAAGCGCTCTGGAACGGCCTGAAAGCGTTCCGATCTACCCTGAAGCGATTGATTTCCGTCCTGGGCCCACCAGAACCTGGGCAGCTCAGATCCTGCTCAGCGCCCCCCTGCTGGCTATTCTCGGACACTGCCCACCCACGGGTCAGTGCGCTCCGACTCCTCCCTCGCCTTCGTGCGGCCTGCCCGGTCTCCAGAATGCGCGTGCGCGAACACCCTGCCCCGCCGCGTCCCCCTGCCCCTTCTCCCCGTTCTCCATCCGTTGATACTAAATCGGCCTTCTGTAGTTCCTATCATCCCTCCTCCGTCCTCCACCGTCCTCTTCCGTCTCCAAGTGATACGTATCCAAATGATACGCCTGCTGCTGTTCAGAGTGATCACCCTTTTCTCCCCTCCCCTGCCTCCCTCCATTATTTTCTCGACTCCCCCGAGCATTACGCAATTCCTCCGTATCTCTCACTTCCCCTCCACCCCATCATTCCCCGTGTTGATTCATGTTTTTTTCGATGCAAGGAGTTCGCTTGAAGGTTCGCTCGCTGAGTCAACATCGACGCGAACGCCACGGAAGCGGAGCACAATAATCCCTCCTGTGCATGCACAAATCAAGAGGGGGAGGAGGAGCGAAGAAACACGAAAGAATGCCCTGGCAAGTGAAACGGCAAGCGGTGTTGCGTTGAACCCCTTGGCGGCCCCAAGCGGCCAATATTAACATCCAACACCACATGAATGAGAGGAAGAGAGAGACGAAGAAGAAGAAGAAGGAGAGGGAAGGCGAAGAAGAAGGCGAAGAAAAATATTGAGAAGAAGGAGAAGAAGAAGGATGAGACGAGAAGAATAATAATAGAAGCGTGGGAAGGCGAAGAAGAAGAAGAATAACGAGACGAAGAGAAGGAGGAGAAGGGGCCACGGCGCTGTGCGGCGATCCCCTGCGGCCCGAACGGCCACACGCAGGAGAGAGGAGGAGGGAACCCACCCCATCATTCACCTGCTCCTGCTGCTCCTCCAATGCAGCCCTTCACCCCCGTCCAACCCTAGTTCCCCTTGCTCATCATCATCTCCTCCCTGCTCCTCCACCTCCTCCTCGTTCTCCCACTCCTCCCCTCCTCCCTCTGCCTCGCGCTTGCGTTCGTTCGCCCCTCCGGATCCTGATCCAAACCTCTCTTCACCATACTCCTTCTCCCGTCATCTTCATTCCTGATTCGTCTTCTCTTCCCTTCTCGCCCTTTCACATCTTCCCTTCCCTTCACCTGCCCCCGCCCCCGTTCGTCCCTCTTATCCTCGCAGCGCGTTTCGCGCCTGCCCGAGATCGATTGTATGGGTATAGATGTCCTTCGCCGACTCGATCATCTTGGTCCGCTTGGCCTCTTCGGCGATCTGGTGCTCGGCAAACCCAGCCTGGCCACCCTTTCTTATGCTGGCCTCCTTCTCAACTTCCATTGCTAAGAATGCTAAGAGGAGGAAGCATAATAAGGACGAGAAACGAGAGACCAAGAGATAAGAGTCGATGGATACGGGTAAAGCAGGTAGGGAGAGGGACGGAGGGAGGAGACGATATGCGACATATGACCACCACCTCTGGCAGAGCACACATATATGCATATATATATATATATATAGACACATATACCTATATATATATATATATATATATATATATATATATATATGGTGAGGTCTTGCACTGAGATCTCCAACGTGATGTTTTTGTTGTTGTGTTCTCTAGCGGATTTCTTACATAAAGCTCCCACGCAAGAAATCCTTTTTGTAAGGCCGCCACACAGGGAATTCTTTTGTAAGGCCGCCACAAACGCCACGGGCGGGCAGGCGAAAATGCAAAAAAGGCGACAAAAACAAAGAAAACCAATGACATCCTAAGAAAACCATGCGAAAAAACTGCAAAACCTAAGGAAAACCAAGGTTTTGACAAGCTGGTAACCACGAAACCTGTGAAAACACGGTGTTTCGTGACGTCGATGAGCCAAAACAATGTGTTTTCACATGTTTGGTGGCTATCAGGCGTTCAAAACTTTGGTTTCCCTTAGGTTTTGGAGCTTTTTCGCTTGGTTTTCTTAGGATGTCATTGGGTTTCTTTGTTTTTTAGACTTTTTCGCCTTTTTTTGCATTTTCGCTTGTTCGCGCCGTGGCGCTGCGCCGGCCCTCGCGCCGCCAGGGGCGGGCAGGCGAAAATGCAAAAAAAACAAAAAAAACAAAAAAAAAAAAACGGAAAAAACAAAGAAAACCAATGACATCCTAAGAAAACCAGGCGAAAAAACTGCAAAACCTAAGGAAAACCAAGGTTTTGGCAAGCTGAGCTTGCCACAAAAGGAATCCATTTGTAATTCGCCACAAAAGAAATTCATTTGTAACCCGCCACAAAAGAAATTCCTTTGTATTCCGCCACAAAAGGAATCCATTTGGAATCCGCCACAGAAGGAATTAATGTTTAATTCGTTACAACAGGAATCCAATTGTAATCCCCCACAACAGGAATGAAATTGTAATCCGCATCAAAAGGAATCCATTTGAAAATGGGTACACAAGAAATCCATCGATACAGAGCCAAAAGGAAGCCAATAGGGATATGAGAGGGAGCCAAGAGGGAGCCAAAAGATAGCCAAGAGGAGCTTGCTGAAGGTTTTGAAAAAGGGGGGATTGCTAGCGCTTACCGCTGCCCACGAGGGCTTCTTGAGGATGTGAAAAGGGGGAAATTATGTGCATTTTTTGACAATTTCTGCGGGGGGTGGAGCACACAAGCATGACATTTTGGGGCGCCTGGCGCAAAACATCGTTGTCGTATATGTAAGTTTCAACGCTACGTTTAGCACTTTTCGAGGGTATGTGTTTCCTAAAAAAATTGGAGTGCCGATTTGGGGGTGTCTTTGGGGTGCCTTTCGGGTGCTTTCCGGGTGCCTTGACAATGAAATCTTGGGTCGCTTGGAGCAAAGCGTTGTTTTCTCAATTTCAGATGTCAATTGCAAATGCAACACTTTTGGAAGATTTGTTGTTTCTTGAAATTTGGTGTGGGCAATTTGCGGCTGCCTTTGGGGTGCATAGCGGGTGCCTTGCGGGTGCTTTGCGGGGGCCTTGACCATGCAATCATTGGCTCGTTTTGACCAAAGCGTTGATTTCTTAGTTGCACATTTCAATAGCACATGTCGTATTCTTCGAGGAGATATGTTGTTCCAGGATTTTTGCGCGGGCGATTTGCGAGTGCCTTTGGGGTGCCTTTCGGGCGCCTTGCAAAGGGAGCCAAGAGGAGCTTGCCCAAGGTTTTGAAAAAGGGGGGATTGCTAGCGCTTACCGCTGCCCACGAGGGCATCTTGAGGATGTGAAAAGGAGGAAATTATGTGCTCACGTACGTTCAACTTCGCGACGGGACCATCAGCTCCGAGGGCGAGTTCCTCAGCTTGGTGACGGACATGGAGCGCCGGTACAGCCGCTCCGCGTCTTTGTTGATGCACCTAATGAGACAGCATCCTCGGCCACTGCTACTTCGCCGGAGCAGCGCCTTGCCATACGTGCCAAACACGCCGTGGAATTCAGTGGGCGGAATGGGAACTCCTGCGGGGATTCCGGACGAGCAGTTCGCCTGGGCGAGGTATTCGCGTTCTTTGCAGGAACTGCGCGCTCTCGGCGCCGTGGGGCTTGCCTGGGTAGTGCGCGATCGGCGACGCCACGTGGAGAGCATGGAGAGGGCGCCGTTCTCTTTCACTTACTACGGAGGCGATCCGCGACCTCTTCCTGGTTCATTTCAGATCGCAGTGCGGCCAGAGCACTCGGTGGAGCGCATCGACACGGAGGCCTTCCTAGATGCGCAGGAGGCATTGTTCACATACGCTATCAGCATTCGTAATGCAAGGGGCGTTGATCGGCCCGCATCCACCATGCTCGCCTCCATGGCGCAGTCCCTGGAGGAAGATTTTGGCGGCGAGGCTCGGTACCTCCGCATTCTGATCATGCGGGAATTCCGCCGTTCGACGGGCGACGCTCTCGGCGGTTCGAGCTGCAGCGTCTGCGGCCGTCTGAGCACAGACTTGCTTCCTCGTGGGCCCCATCGTGTCTGCCAAGAATGCATCCGCTCATCGCCGCCAGGCGCTGCGGCTGCTTCGTCTTCTCCCGCGGCGCCGGACTCGGGCGCCTGCCGCCTCTTCGGCGACCAGAGGTCTGATTCCGTCGGGCTCGCGCAGTTCGTGTTGAGTCAAGCAGACGAACAACATGGGTGGATTCAATGTGACACGTCTCCCCTGAACGGCGGCTCGGCTGCAGACCTTCAAGCGCCGGGCGAGGGCGTCGAGGTCGGGGGCGGAAGCAGGGGTCGGGTTTGCAGATTTTTCTGAATGCATTATCTTGTTGTCTTACCAAGAGTTCGACGAAAAGAGCGGATGTCTTCGGAGTCGGGGATGCCAGAGTAGAGGCAATATTTTCATCCCGCGGGGGGGGGGGGGGCGGGCCCAAATCGCGCGATGCTCAGGACATCTGGGAATGTGAGATTAGATTTTTGTGTAGTGTTATGGTTTGACGGGGCCCAGACAGGATTTGATTCGTAACAATAAGAAAAAGTTATTTTTGCTCTGCCTAGGCACCCGGCGAGAGCGTCGAGGGCGATGCAGACGGCGACGTGGTGAACAGCGACGTCGACATTGGCGGCGAACACCCCAGTCTCGACGACATTGACATGAGCGATGTGTCGTCGGAGACCTTCCCCTACGACATCGATCTCCTGGGCGATGCGTTCGACGAGGGCAAGGACTCGGAAGGGGAAGGCGAGTTGCCAGAGCAGGAATCTGAGGATGAGCTCGTGGAGGAGTTTACATACTCAGACGGTATTCTGACAGACGTTCCTCCTTCTGGAGACCTTCTGTGCGACGATGACGACGACGCTGCAGACCACTCCGAGGGATTGCCGCCGTCCCCGCCCTCGCCAACAGATGCTCTGGGCGGCGCTACAGGAGCAGCCAAAAAGCGACCCGCCGCGGCAATATCATGCGCATGGGGGCAATTGCACCCCCAAGAAGGGGAAAGCCAGGATGTATGCTCGCCCGAAGAAGTTGTGCAAGGAGAAGTGGTCCAGTGTATGGAACAGACACCGTATGTTCGCCACGGCATAGATGCGCGATCTCGCAGAGATCGTGCCACCTGGGCTTGGAATATGAACGATATCTTGGTGGCCAGTGAGAAGGCTCTGATTGCGCGCCTCACCAGGGATGGTTTCCTGAAGAATTGGACTCAGTGTCATTGCCCGCATTGCGGCGAGGAGCGGGTCGGCCCGCTTCAGCAGCGCGCCAGCGGTACCTGGGCATATAGGTGCACCAAACGCGGCTGTCAGCGATTCGTCCTCCCTCATGCCGAGCACCCCGTTTTCACGGCGGACTGGGGGCACACTTCGAAACCGCTCCGAAGCCAGGTGCGGGTCCTATTCGGGCCCATCGTGGGCTTGACTCACTCGCAGAATCACTTACTCTGGGGGGACAGCGCCTGGTTCATCAGCGAGATGTCGAAGCGACTCGACGCGGTCCTGGCGAAGGACGTTGCCGACCGAGAGAAACACATCAAATTTGGAGACACTGTCAAGAAGGAGCGGCGAGACGTCGAGGCGGACGAGGTCGACTTGGGCAAAGAGTTCGTCACCGACAACGCCAAGGACAAACTCAGATGGCTCCAGTGGGCTGGCATAGTCGAGCGGGGCAGACCAAGCAGCTTGGTACTTTTCCGAACGAAGCCTAAACTTACAAGCAGGAGGGCTCCTGGCCCTGGACCCATCAAGAAATCAGATTGGTACCCCATGGCGAAAAAGTGGCTGAAGGGGCGCAAGATTCTCTTGCACACTGACGGCGCCCGCTCATACAAGCTGGGGCTGAACCGAAAGAACACCTTGGATGGCGTCATCCACGATTACGTCACCCACAAACCCAAGAAAGACGGGACGTTCCTGCGCCCCAAATACGTGCAGCTCTTCGCCCACGACATAGATGGGGTCACCACGTACACAAAAGGTGGGACCCAGATAGTTGATCGGCGTTGGCAGCATATTCGGAAGTTTGTGGGCAGGCGATCCGCCGCGGGCTCATCCCAGAAGAGGATGGATGCGCGCGTGCGCGCTGCACAATGGGCCTACTGGCACCAAGACGACGATTTGTTCTTGAGAGCAGGAGAAGCTTTTCGGCGTCGCTGCTGAACTGACACTGCATTTCTGAGTTCGCACTCGCATCCTTTGAGCAAAAACAACATATTTGGAGATCTCAGTGCTAGACCTGAGCATATATATACAAACAGATGTATACAAAAAAACACTTTCCCGAGACACCTTCCTGTTCAAGGTTGGCACACTCATGGGTCGGACCAGGCGGAACGCATGATGCTCGGATCCCCCAGGACGCCTCACGGCGGATTTTCAAATTTGTGCAGGGCGCCCACTGCAGGGCAACATCCCGTGACCTCGCCGCTCTGAGTGACAGCACTCGACCTTAAAGCAAGCACGCGACCGTTGCCCCATGGATATTACGTAATTGCCCCAGAGGGAGAAGGGAAAGGAGGAGGAGGAGGACGATGACGACGACGAGCACGAGGAGAACGAGGAGGAGGCACATGGCGGGATCCCTCCCTCGCGCTCGCCCCTGGTGCCGCGCCCGACCGCGCGCCGCCAGGGGGGTTGTGGCTCGGTTGAGCTCCTGAGGGCAGTGGCAAGGATGGGAGGAGGGAAGCGGGAGGTTGAGGAGGAGGAGGAGGAACGTGGGGACTGTCTCTTCAAAACGAGGACCCCACAACAACTTGGTCAGGAGCAGTGCAGATCAATGCAATGCAATGCAATGTGGGGCGCAGCAAGTTAGGGCAATGCACAGCAAGGCAAAGCAATGCAGCGACGAGGCGGCGGGCGGCGAAGACGCGGGGACGAGGCGGCGACGGCGGCCACGCGGCGGCCGGTCCGCCACCCAGGCCCCGACGACGGGCGACGACGAGGCGGCGACGGGGCGGCGACTGCAACCACAAGGCGGCGGACCCGACGCGCAGGTCCAGACGACGGGCGGTGACGAGGCGGCGACGGCGACCACGTAAGGGACAAGAAGGGGAAAAAACTGCTGGGGCTCCAGAAGGGGGGCGCAATCAATGGAGGGCCATTCTAGTTTAGATCGATCGCCTCCAGGACGACTCCTGAATCTGCTCAGGCTGATCGCGAGCTTCGGTTTGACGACTGCCAGCCCCCACCCTCATCGCGCCACACTTCCAGCACGACACTTCCCTAATCCAGGAAACTCGCCTGGGCACCGTTTCTGGATGAGCGGATCGGGAATGCGAAGAGTTGCACATATACTATACGACGCGTAGTTTCCCCAAGACGTGACCTCATGATCTGCAGAGACTGGGACCCCAGTGTGGACCCGAGAGGCCCCAACAAATGCCTAAGGTTGCCCAAGGTGACCCCAGGAACGAATCCGAACGGCACGCTGAGGACACCAGCACGATCGCAATTCCAACCCATACCATCGAGCACTCACAGATCCCGAAACTTGCCTGCTTGCTTTCCCGTTGGATCCCGCTTGACCCCGCTTACCTTATGCTCAACGGGCTTAACTTACGTCGCACGATTTCCTCATGTGCTGCACGGGATCCACTTCCACTTCATATGCGTCGCACATTGGAGGCTGCAAAAACGACAGGCATGGGAGCAGAAGACACAGCGAGTGAGAGAAGGGGAAGCAAATGTCACAAACGCGCCGCGCTGTGAAGCCAATGCCACACACACACAACGCCTACACATGTCGAAGACGTCTGCATCGAAAGCACACGTACACAACAAACAAGTATGTGCGCCGTGCATGTGCATTTGGACTCTACACTGCGCCCCACTGACTGCCTCTCGACAGAATCGTGCCCAGGACAGCCCTTCGACTCCATCCCAGACCGACCCGGCCTCGATGACCTCGCACCATCGGGCTGCCTCCTCTGCTTTTCGCACGAAGAAGCTCATGTAACCAGTACGCATAAGTACTCTGACCTGGCGGCACACAAGACAAGGATGCCCAGTGCGGCAGCCTGCCCAAGCCTGGACTGGCACAGCGCAGAGGGCAGGAGCCGAAGTCCGCACTTCGCTGTGCGGGCGAGCGCGCGCCGAGGGGTTGGCAGTCGGCGGGTGGAGCAGATCAATCGCGGGCTGTGGTGCTAAAGCGGCCACCGCAAACCTACGGTGTGGGCATTGGGTAAGGAACCCTGAGATAAGGAATCCAGGGTCTGGAAGCCAGTGGAAATCCAATCGTGGATTGGCCATCAATATCACCGCCGCCCTCATCAGATAGGATCCCTCCAGGGTCTGAAGCCGCCTGGGCACGTTCCTTAACGAACGCCCCCACGGTAGTACGCACAGGTACACACAGGCGCTCGAATCCAGAGAAGCTGGCTCACAACTGCGCAGAACTGACCAACGCCACTGCTGAACCTGCCCTGGACCACCCTCAAGACACCCTGCTCTCAGCAATGCAGTCATGACTCTCCCCCCCGCGGGCGCCGATGTCTTGCATTTACGACCCCCGCTCCTTCTGCAGGGATAGCAGCGAATCAGCCAGGAAATAGTCCAAGCCTCCCTAAACGCGCCGTGAATCCCGCCAGCCCTTCATGGCGTGAGTGGTTTATGCCGTTTCCTCTTCCAACCCCCTTCATCCCCTTCGCTTCGGGAAGAGCTCGACCTCTGCTCGTCATGAATAAGCACCCCTTCACCCACCCGACCGAAACAAGCCAGGTGCAATGCCCCTCCCAGCATCCCAACAGAAAAACAGCATACAACACACTGTGCGGCAAAACAAAGATCATGCCTGGGCGCCCCGCGAGAAATGTACATTATTTGATAGGGACGATGGGAGGGACATCAAATTTCCCCGCGTGTGCTGGCCCACCATCCCTTTCAAAAACCATGCGAAGCGCACACTGCGGCAAAATTCCGACCATGCGCGAGCGCCCCACGATCAGTTCGCACCCGTTGTTGACAGTGATGATGGGGGGGTCCTGACACGCGCGGCGCATATGGTGGGCGTTGTGCACCTGGCTGGCGTCTGCATTTGGTTACCGATGGTTGCCAGTGTTGTCCCCCTTCTCCGGCCCCTTCCCCCCAAGTCTGGACGGGGGGGGGTCGCGAGGTGACAGAGCGCGCAGGACGGCCTCGTCGAGAAGGCAGCAATAAATGATGCACCATCGGCTTTGGGCCCGTGTGGGCCTTCTGGGTGGGGTGGGGGGAGCAGTGCAAATTCAAGACCCCCCCCCCCCCCCCTTGATGGATCGATAGCACCTAATATGGCCCCAAGGCGGCCCGTAAAGCTCCCAAGAGAGCCCCAAGAGGGCCCCAATAGGGTCGCAAGAGGCCCCCGGGAGGCCACCAAAAGGCCCAAGGGGCCCCAGAGCCACCCCCGAGAGGCCCTCAAGAGGCCCCAAGAGGCGCCCCAAGAGCCAGCAGCAGGCCCCCAAGACGCCCCAAGACGCCCCAAGAGGAGGCCTCTAAGAAGCCCCCGAGAGATACGCCAACAGACCCAAGGAGGCATCCACGGGGCCTCTGGCCCACACAAACTCCCCGAGATCTCCAAATGGTGCCACGCTCCCCCGTTCAGGGCAGCTCCGCTGGGCATCGCGTCCGAATGAGCTGGTGGGGAGACGCGAAGCAGTAAGAATTTCGAGGCGACCCCAGTGGTGGCGACGAGGGCCCCCCAGGACGCCTGAGAAGGGGAAAACGAGGGGAAGGGTAGCCGTATAGGTACCTCTGCCTTTCTGCGACACCCCACGAAGACGGCTGCGAACACTCGGGTGTTGCTAGAAGTACCACTGGCCCAAGGTGCCCCCAGCTTTTCGCTCCATTTCGGAGCCCCTGAGGCCCTCTGGGCCTCGTGAGGGGTGCTGTGGAGGCCGGTTGGCTGGGGGCACTTTTGGCCCAGGGGCACTTCTGGCAACACCCGAGACATGGCGCCAGCGCTGACAGGCTCGGCCCCCGTCGCTCCGGCGCGGCCGGGCTGCCGGCGGAGCCGCGCGGGCCCGCAGGCGGTCGCCCCGCCCAGGCTGGCACGCACCTCAGGATTCTTGCCTGGGGACTCTAGCTCATTGGGAGGCCTGGAAGTGGGCACCAACACCAAGACAGGGGGTTGCCTCCACAAGGGGAAAGTGATCCTCGAGTTCGGTGTCGGTGGTAATAGTTCTGTCACCTTGGAAGCCGGAATATTGCCACCATCACCCAGATGGGGATCTTTGTCCGTCGGTGGAGGTACAACGCCGATGTTGGTGTTGGTGTCAACCTTTAGGCCTGCGACTCATTGCTTGGGGGGGAAGGAAGCGGGGGCAACGACCAAGACTGAACGCGGAGATGTCGTGCCGATCTGTTGGTCCCCGTCGATCTTGGTCAGCGCCACTTCGAGGATCGCCCTCACGAGTCCGCGACGGCCGACATGGACCATGACCAAGACTGGCATCAACAGCATCCCGCGAAATCTTGGTCGTGATCCCCGTGTCTCTTGCCTCGGTTGCTTTCTATCGCTCTCTCTGCTTCTGTTTCCCCCTGCGCGCAGTACACGAGGAGGGAGGGCCACCTCTTGCGCTTGCACCCAACTGCACAGGACCGGCTTGTGTCCTTCGCAAGGCGGGATCCAATGTGCAAGCCCTGAACCTCTCGACCCCTTCCCAAGGACCAATTTGTGGTGTGGATGATTGACAAGGTATGTGTCGACCACTATCCCAGGCATCGTGGTGTTTTCGAATGGGCCAAAAATATTGGGCCCAACCCTGGGATATACGATGGGGGGTGTCCATCTTCGATCGGGGTGCGTCCGAATAGCCCCCTTGGGGTGTATCCCAGGGTTTCCCCCTTTTTCTGAGCGGCCAAACTTTTCGGACAGAACTCGGGGATTTGGGCAGAAAAATCGCCTGCCAACGATGTTTGCTGACGGACTCAAGGACCAAACCAGGCCTCCACGCCGAAGTCGCTGAACAAAAACTGCCGTTGTCATTTTTCCGTGACGCCATCGGCTTGGGTATCCTCGCTCCTCCCGGGGCCTTTGCTGGTGTGTTTCCTGGCAAGACCTTCGAAGAGATTTTTGTCCGTGGCCACGTAATCCCTCGCAAAGGCAGCAAAAGAGCGAAAAACATGGAACAGGCTTGAACATCGAGCCTCGAACCTCGACCTCTGCTCCCTCCGAAGGCCTCGTCCTGGCCCCTTCCACATGTCTAAGCTCCTTCACCAAGGCCGGTCTTCCTTCCGAGCCATCTTAAACTGCCCCGGAACCCGAACACGCCCCCCAGAAGTCAAACATTGAGAAACCACTCCGTCCGGATCTCTGCAAGACTCTGGATGCCTGCGTTGTGATCTCCCCCATCCCGTCCATCCGAAGGCCTCGTAGGGGCAGTCCACGTTCCAGCGGCCATGCAACATCTCCGTCTCGACGGCCTGAACCATCCTGGCCGAACCGGGCCCCTCGTCGTCCTCGCCGTCCCTCCCCATCCCTCTTCCTTTTCTTGTTAATATCTTTTTAAACAAAAAAAACTCCTCGTCACACCACTAGGCCTTGTCCGCCCCCGTGCCTGCGAGGCACCAATTGGAGTGTCCTCAGGTCCCTGGCGCAATCCCCTGGACCTCCGCCCTCAATCGTGTGGACTTACTAAAAAAAGCCCCGATAACAAGTTCTCGAATCTCCTGGGGTTCCCGTGTTGAGGGCGTCTTCCCGCAGGAAGCTTTCGGGCACAGACCAAAGGGCCCAAAGACGAGCCAAGAGGGCCCAAAGACGCCTCCGATTTACAACCAAAGCTGGTGAAGGGATGGGCCGAAGGCCACTGGATAAAAACCCACTCCTCGTCACTCCGCCAGGCGTGCGGGTGGGGCAGCTGGGCGGTTCGCCTGAAACGTTCTCACCACTTGTGGCGGCCATGACCCCTGACACTCCCAAAAGCTAAAGCGCGATTTTTTACTCTCGGCGATGACGGGCGTCCTGGGGGGGGTATGATGTAACGCCCCCCCTTTCCGCCGGGTGGCTCCGGCACCACAACCGCGCCCGCAAGCACGACGACGATGAGCGACGAGCGACGAGCGACGAGCGACGAGCGAAGACGACGACGCGAGCAGTATGTAGGTGGCGATCTGCCCCACAGCGCCTGTGTACAACACAATGCTCGCGTGCACCACAGCGCACGTGTACACCACATCGCCTGCGTACACCGCAACGGCCGCGTGCGACGCAACGTCTGTGTACACCGCAGTGCTTGCGTGCACCACCACGCCGGTGTCCACCACAGCGAATGTGTACACCGCAGCAGCCATGTGCAACACAGCGCCTGTGTACACCACAATGCTTGCGTGCACCGCAGCGCCTGTGCACACCACAGTGCCTGTCTACACCACAGCATCCGCGTGCAACGCAGCGCTGGTACACCACAGCGCCTGCGTGCACAGGACAGGTAGAAGGAGCATGTAGGTGAGGATCTGCTGCGGACAGCTGAAGGCCACGCCAGGCCAGTGCTGATAATAGAATGCGAAGTTATTCCCTGCTCCCTCCTCCTCCACCTCCACCTCCTCCTCCTCCTCCTTCACCCTTCGCCCCTGTCGTGCGGGTCGGCGCTACAGCGCACGTGCCCTTCTCAGCGTACACCGCGGAATGGTCTATTGAATCAGTACACTTGGTTCTCGGACGGCCAATTTAGCTGGAGCCTCCTGGACGCAGATGGAAGGCATTAGGATGATACGGGCGGACCCGGGAGGACTCGTACATTCCAGCGGCGCTCCTTTTTCCGTAAGGATTCCTTTTTTTCCAAATCCTAGATAAAACACGTGTCTTCTGTGGAATTCACCAGCCACAGGCGCTCCATTTTGTCATAAGGCTTCCTTCCAACATTCTACATACAACAGTGGTGGTCCGTTGCGCACGATTGCTGTGGTTCGCACAGGCGCGGTGGTGTACACAGGTGCTGTCGTGCACGCAGGCATTGTGGTGTACACTGGTGCTGTGTTGCGCACGGCTGATGTGGTGTACGCAGGCGCCATGGTGTACACAGGCGCTTTGGTGCCCGCAGGCACTGTGGCACACACCGGCGCTGTGTTGCACGCGGCTGCTGTGGTGCAGATAGGCGGTGTGGTGTACACAGGCGCTGTGGTGCACGCAGGCACTGTGGTGTATGCAGGCGTTGTGGTGCAGATCGCCGCCGACATACTGCTGCTACCCGTCCTCGGTCATTCCTAGGCTATCCCAGACGCCGCCAGCGTGAAATGTGACGTCATCGGCCCCCTCCACCCCCCCAGATGATTGCCGTCATCGGCCTGGGATACAAAAAAAAGGCTCCAGCCGCGTCCGCGCGCAACGACGATGAGCGACGAGCGACGAGCGACGAGCGACGAGCGACGACGACGACGACGACGACGACGACGACGACGACGACGACGACGACGACGACGACGACGACGACTGCGGACCAGACTCCCGCGCGGAGTCCTATGCGGATCCCGATGCGCACGGCGGCAGTGCCCGGAGCGCACTGGGGAGGGGGGGGCGTTACGTCAGGGGGGGGGGGAGGCGGCGGCCATGACGCCCGTCATGCCCCAAGCAGAAAAGAAACACGCTCCTAAGTACACGCCGTTCATTTCTAATCGTGCTCATTTCTAATTGTGCTCGTTTCTAATTGTTCCTGGCCCCCTAGTGGCCAGGAAGACGCCCAGGATAGAACAATAAAAATGAAAGGATCTTGGCCCCCAAGAAAGAACTTTCGAAAAATGAGACATGAACAGTGGGTACACGAATGGACGGGGGGTCGATTTCAAACTTCGCCGGCCCAAAAGGGCCAGAGGCGTGCCCCCAGCATTCCACTTCGTGCGCGCGCGGGGCGGCCCCTCGGGGTCCCCGAGACGAGAAGTATCCAGGCCGACTCCTGGCAAGGTCTTGGCAAGATCCGCTCAAGGATGCCAGAACTCCCGGGGGCGGTTTTCAGGGCCCTCCAAATCGCCCCAGGAGCGGCCCAAAGAACCTCAAGGCAGCTCCGAGAGGGCCACGACTCGGAATCACGGCAAGAGCGCCCCAAGACGCCCAAGATGTCCCCACAACGGCCTAAGAGGCCCCAGGGAAACCCCAAGAGCGCTCCAAGAGGATCATAAAGAGGGCCAAGAGAAGCAACCATCATTGATAATCATTGTGTTTTTCTATGCGTTTCGCGTTCTCACGTTTTCGGGCTTCCGACGCTCCAAGATGGCCGCAGAGGCCCGCAAGACCGCCTCAAGACGGCCCGAGAGGCCCCGAAGAGGGCCTGGTCGAAGAGGGCCTCAAGACGGCCCCAGAGGCGCCAAATATCGCCCAAGACGGCTCGAAGAGGGGCCCAAGAGGAGGAATACGAACACCAATTCGAGCCTCCCTCCCCAAGAGACCCCAGCAGGCCGCAAGAGGCCCAAGAGAGCCCAGCAGGCCCCCTGGAGGCCCCACGAGGCCCCCAAGAGCGCCAGAAAGAGGCCCCAATAGGCGCCCAAACGGCCCCCAAGAGGCCCCAAGAGGCCACGAACGCGCAGGACGCCTGCGATGGCACAATACGGGCTGGCGGAATGAGCGAAGCGATAAAATATTGCGATCGCCTTAGCGCCGCGCAGACACGTTTTCGGGATGGAGAGCGGCTACTTTTCGAAATGGAATCTACCTTGAGACGTCCTGACTTCCCGTAGCTAGGCATGCAAGTGTCGCAACCTTATGAGGATCAACGTTCGATTCGCGCCGCGTACTTCCGATACTCGAAGGTGCACACGTGTCAAATGTTGCAACGGTTCCACAGATGGAGGACGGATCCTTCTCACAACAGGGCCCTCGTTGGATACGTCGACTTGCGCACATGTATGACAATACATTATCCAAGGCGAGACCCTCGCCTGAATGACAAGGCCACGGAGAGCTTGTTGCTCAAACGACTAGGATGAGACTTGGCCACCTGGGTTGCCTCTGGTCCCTCTCCTCCTCCTTCTCCGTTTCCTCCTCCCTCTCCGGCTCCGGCTCCTGCTCTTCCTCCTTTTCCTCCTTCTCCTCCTCCTCCTCCTCTTCATTTTCATCCACCTGCTCCAATACAACTCCTCTGCTGAAGGTGGTTCCCTTTCTCCGCCTCTTCTCTCTGGTCCTCCCAGACAGAACAGTACCCCGCTGTCCCTCTACTCCTTTTCACCATCGCCATCCTCATCGCATCCATCCTTCTTCTCCTAGCCTCGTCCACTCAGCCCGCATTCTCCGCCACCCACCAAATCCTCTACCCTGCCGTCCTCCTCCTCCTCCTTCTCCTACTCCTCCTCCTATTCCATCCCTTGTCCTACAAACATTAATTCCTCCCTTTCGCGCCCCCAGACGTGTTGGTGGGGCGGGCCTGGCGTTTCGCCTGAAACTTCACCACCACTTGCAAGCATGAATCTTTAGATTTGCAAGTTTCACTCATGGACTGCGGGCCGCTTCCAAATGTGGCAATCGCCTTCGCGCCGCGCACATTCGCCTTGAAAGCTTGCAACAGCTTCACTGGTGGAGGGCGGGTCCTTTTCACAATGCGGCTCTTGCCTAAGCGCCGCGCGCACTCGTCCTGAACGAGTGGAACAGCTTCACGGATGTAGGGCGGGTCCTTTTGAATGTGTGACTCTCGCCTCATCGCCGCGCACGTCCATCTCAAACATGTGCAGCAGCTCTCTGGATGGTCGGGTCCTTTTCAACATCTTGCCCTGGCCATCGCGCCGCGCACGCTCGTCTGGGAAGCTGCGACGATTTCTCGGATAGGGGGTGGGTAGCTTTCAAAGCGTGGCTCTCGCCTTTCGGGGGTGGACAGACCTCCCTTTAGTAAAACGTGGTTTAGCGAAAACGACCTGAGGCCCAAACCTGGCGGGCGCAGACCTGGAAAATATAACGGCCACGGCGCTGCCTCGAGAACCGAAGACGGACAATTCACGAATCGACGTGTCGCTGTTGGGGGTTCTGTCCACCCCCGTGAGTGGTGTTCTGGCACGATGGAGGGGGAGGGAGAGGAGGGGGAGGACGAGGAGGGGGAGGGAGAGGAGGGGGAGGGAGAGGGAGAGGAGGGGGAGGACGAGGAGAAAGGAGGGGGCCCATATATGATATCTGTATATGGATACACATGCTAACATATTGATATATCTGGGACGATCATAATTTCGGGTGGGGACACATCGACAATCTCGGAGGTCCGGCGGCTCGGGCAACTACTTAACAGTATTTCTTGTTCCTCCTCCTCCTCCTCCTCCTCCTCCTCCTCCTCCATCCTCCTCCTCCTCCTCCTCCTCCTCCTCCTCTTCCTCCTCCTCCTCCTCCTCGTCCTCCTCCCCCGAGCCCTTCGCGCCGCGCACCTTCGCTCCAAGAGTCTGCAGCTGCTTCGCGGGTGGAGGGCGACACATTGTCTTGAAGGTTGGCTCTCTCGCCTCGGCGCCGTGGACGTTCGCGATTCGCGA